TTTTTTTTTTTTTTTTTCGCGTCTCTTCATTATCTCACGCCTGATAATCAGGGGCCTTCAACTACATAATCGTGCGGATAGAATGACTACGACTTGTTCCACCACTTCGATCTGGCGAATTCATCGGTTCTGAAGGTTCCCTCCGTTGAGTCAGAGGCAAAACGAACGAATGCATCCACGATGATTCATTTCATATCGCGACAGCCATTAAACTCAATTACAGCTTCGAAATAATACGATGCAGCAAGGACGTCGGATAAATGTTAATTAAATAACGGCAAATTGATCGAGTTTCAGACTCACCTGTTATGTTCAGTCCAGCGAAAGCTTGGAACTCGGAGATCGCTTTCGAGAGCGTCTCCTCAGATATGATCCCGCCACTTGTTGGATTAATTGGTTGCAGGTAGCCGAACTGAGACAGGTAGTTCTGCAACAGGTGTGAAACAGATTTCGTTAGATAAATTTCTTTTTTTTTTTTTGAGGAAGATATTTATTTGTCAAATTAAAAAAATTACAAAATAAGTGCATTAAAAAAAAAATATACAAAACAAATACATCAATAAATTACGTTCTACGAATATTGATCAATTAAACAATACAGATATGTGAGTTTGAAGGTTCTAACTCCGTCGGAAAATAGTTGTAACAAGTATTACGTATATGATAAAGAGATTATTATTACATGGATGATGTTTATGGGGGGACTGACCTGTTTGTTCTGATTCTATTGTCGTATGATACAGTTATTCAGTCATGGTTAATAAAGGGTATTAATATTCCAGCGAATAAAACCCGTTTGTTTTTTCCTATTTCTAAATGAATCACAGCAATTTTATTTTTTCATTATTCAACAAAATTACAGGAATTTTTTATTATCTTCTAATAGGCAGTAGCTACTCAAGAAATCATTATAAATCATTAGTATTGTTAACAAAGAGCATCTCGTCAATTTGACAATTAGTTTTCAATTATCGAGAAATTCATGAATATAAACTAACCTCTATCTACGCATATCTACACTCTAACCTCCGCATATCTAATCTACGCATATCTA